GAGAGTATCCGAGAGGATGAATTCTCAAAACAAACCATATGTGCGGATGACATCAAAAGGGATGCAGCACAACGTGGAACTTTTTTCTTAGCAGCGAACTGGGACATAATCCAAAGAGGAATACCAAACTCTTAGGATGCGAGCTGAGGAGCGACCTCCAACACAATCAAACCAAACCCCTATTAAAAGGCATGTGGGTTTTTCTTTAGGTTTATCGATTTCGATTTCGCATCAGGAAAATTTTGATTTCCATCGGAGGCAACTTTCCAATCCGAGTGATAATACACCAAGAGCTTTGGAAATTATGTCCGTGTAAGTTCTTACTTATGGATGTGAAGAGCTCCACATTCATGAATAAGAGGTTGCAAGCCTTCTTTTTCATACTCGACTTATTTGTCACTCCTCCAGAACCGAATGTTATCTAGCATAATAGATTTCCTTCTCAACCGATCGAGTCGAACTATAAGCAGCCTGATTCATAAGATTTAAGGATATGTAGGCGGGCTCAATGTTGAAAACTCGGCTGTATTCCGACATCCGCTCTTAAATCTTGTTCCCGAGCATTCTGATTTCTTCATAATTCAATATCGGATATCTTTTGAATTCTTTCAAAATCGTGCGTCAAATCGAGCGTATCGAACTACAATGGGCCTGAATTCTCATATAGCCTAAGATATGTAGGAAACCCATTTCCGGGGTTCGGCCATAATTCCTAAAGTCTGTACCGAAAACTTAGAGGAAAAGTTTGGAGATCTATAAATTGAAGATCTCTATTCCCATAACACAACACAATAGCATCCACAATGTAGACGTTTAAGAGTTTATCTTATGGGGAGATTTATTCTCTCAATATTTTAAATATTTTTCTCTTATATTAGTTTTCATATTATGATATTATATTTTTAGTATACGTTTTTGTTAGCTGATTTATCAACTCTATGATTTGCAATTGTAAGCTTTGAAATAATTAGTTTTTATAAAGTTCAAATATTTTCCAAGTTACTTTTAATTAATTTTATTGTTTTTATAATTTTTAGACAATATATATATATACTGTTTTATTTAAAAAATATAACTTGAAAACCCAACAGTACGAGTCATTCTCATTCACATATATTACTTAATTCCATCATTAAATAATTTAATGCACATTGAATACTTTTTGTTTTATTTAAAACATATTAATTGGGCTGGTTTTAAGAGTCGCCACTTAATTTTAGGAAAAATTAAGAAAACTATTCATTTTCACAAGACTAAAACAGGAATCTAGTGAAAACTTGAAAAGGGTTCGAGGTTCTTATTAACATTGTAGGAAGGTAAGGTTTAAAAAGCACCTAAAATGTCCACTAATGTGGCTATCCGACAATTAATTATTTGGCTAAATTCACTTCACTTAATTTGATTGAACAATTTTCTGTTCGAGGTTCTTATTAACATTGTAGGAAGGTTTAAAAAAAAAAGCACCTAAAATGTCCACTAATGTGATTATCCAACAATTAATTATTTGGCTAAAATCACTTAACTTAATTTGATTGAACAATTTTCTGTAGTTAAGACCATTTTAAGGGAGAAAAAGAAAAATATTGAAATATTATCTAAGTGAAGTATTTTTGTAAAATTATTTATTTATTATTTAAGTAAAATAAAAGACGAATAATTTAGTTAAGTGATTAATTCAGAATGTGTGTCTTATGGGGATTTTGAATTTTTAAAACCTTAAGATTAAATAGCAGATATCAGCAAATAAGCAAACACAATAAAGCAAAAGAAAAGAAAAGGACTTGGGCCCAAATCTGGTTTTCCTGTCCGCCTGGGCCAGCACTTGGGCCTGATTTAAGTTTTGGGCCAAAAGCAAAAGAAAAGAAAAGGACTTGGGCCCAAATCTGGTTTTCCTGTCCGCCTGGGCCAGCACTTGGGCTTGATTTAAGTTTTGGGCCTTTGGCCCATTTGCACCTGTCCTAGGATAAACTAATTTTCCGCGAGGGTTTAGGCCCACTTCTTGCATTTGGTACCTATCCTAATAACTAACACATAATAATAATAGAAGTAAAAGGTCTTAGGCCCAAACATAACCAAATACAACTTAGTGGGCCTTTTGACCCAATCTTTTCAATTTCTCGATATGTTGATTCTTCCAACTTCGGGACCTATTCGTCGATTTTAGTGGATGGTTGACTCGGAAAGAGGAAAATTGGGCTTTCATGGCCCAATTCAACATGAGGAGTGAATGAGAGGAGATCGAGTCGAAAAGAGACTCGGAGCAATTTTTTACATGCAAAGGAAACAAAGGAAAAAGAGTTAATACATAATATGAGAAAATAAAGAAAAGATATGCTAAAATATATAAAATGAAAGAAATGAGGCTATACTGACAAATAATCTAAAACTAACGGATATGCCAGGAGCTTTAAAGAATTGACTAAACGAGGAAAACAATGCTCATAATATGCTAACTTTAATCTCAAAGCAATAAACATGCTGGAAAATCTTCTAAAAATCAAACCGAATGAAAAGTTTTAACATAGGAAGCAAATAAATAAATAAGAACCAAGCATAAAGCTAATGTACCACCGTAGAAACATGTAGATCAAGTAAACTTAGAATTAGCCAAACTTGAACTCCCCAAGGCAAAATAGAAAGCAAACAATAAAGAAAGTAACACTCTTTCAAATCAGAAATGTCAACAATCGGATGAATAAAATGAAGCACATGAATTGAGGCATTTAACAAGGTGGGAATCGATATAATTAGATCTGAAATGTAACATGTGAGAGTAAGAAAAATTGAGTTTGAAAACTAAAGAGTGAGGCAAAGCTAATTTAAAGTAAATTAAACCACCACATTCAAACAAATTTCCTCCCTAACACATAGCTGACCACAAAACCATGAAGAAATGCCTAAACAATGCTTTATACTACTAAAAAATAAAGGCAGTAGCAACCTATGCACTAATGGAATAAGACTAAGTCTTTAAATAAACAAGTTTATGCTTATAAGAGTTAACTTGAACACAAAAGAAAAATTAATCCTTGCTTAATACGCATAAACAACCAGGAAAGGAAATGAACCATGACATCTTTAAGAACGGGGACAAAACCGAGTTGATTTAGGAGACAAACATGAATAAAGCCAGACCATTATTTAGGCAAGCAAGCAAAGACAATGTAACCATAAGGGGCGAAATTAGGCATATGAAAGTTATACCGATATAATACCGACATGCCGGCCTGCAAACATCAGGGAAACATTCCGAAATGATCACATCCATGGAAGACGAAAGGTAACCTCACAAAACAAGCAACAGAACAGCCCATACTCACCAAACAAATCGGGAATGGGGTATGAGGAGCATTCGATATATTAGCCATGGCAAGCGAGTCATTAAATCAAATTCGAAGCAACACGAAAAACCATTACGACTAAGCATTTTGAAGAAGTGATGCTGGTATTCAGTTTATATTTCAAGGAAATACGAACATTCTCTAACAACAAAGAAATCTTAACGAAAACAACTAATTATGCAAGATCATCTTATATATACAAAGATTAAAAAGAAGGAAGAGTTGTAAACGGAATAAGGGTGAAATCCTCACCTTTCCTTGGGCAGCGAACGAGAACCACGAGCTTGAAAGTGCTTCCACCACTATGAGCCAGTTTTGATGAGCTTAGGAAAGCAAAAGAGTCTTCCAATCCGAGAAGAAAAACTAAAAATATCCTCTCTAGTCTCTATACTCGACACCTATACTAAACACTCGTATGTAATTCATAGTAAATACTCGTAGTAATTTAGGGTGTTTTTCTCTTTTAGTGCTAGCTCCTTCCCAATATTTTTTCTCTCAACTCTCTATAAGCTAACTCTTCCTAATTTTTTATATATATTTTTTTTTACTCTCCAAAATCCAACCCCCCATAATGGAGAAAGAGGAGGTATATATAAAAGGAATTTAGGGTTGAAATAAAAAGGAGGGGGGGGGGGGAATCCGGAGTGGAAATCGATGAAATCCCTTTTTAAATTCGAATTTCAAATCTCTTTGAGATAAAGTGCTCAAGTTGGTACAAATCTCCAACGGAAGAATGAAGATAGCCGCCCGATTCGAGGAGAAAGGACAAAGGAAGCGCAAGATTGCTCCACATGGATTCGAGTTCTGGACTCGGGTCGAGTTCTGGACTGAATTCGCAGCTACTGGGCTCGCGATTGGAGCGTTTCTGGGCTTCGATTTGCAGCGAGGAAGAAGACGTTGGCAGGGTCAGGCGGCTACTGTTTGTACGCTGTTATGTTGTTGTTATATTGTATGAATGTGGGTTGGTTAAGTGAGAAGGAATTGGGCTTCTAGTGGGTTAAGTTGCATGCTGGAAATTGCAAAATAAAAGGGCCCAAAATGGTTTGTCCCAAATGGGTTTAGAGAATTTGGCTAATAACTAAATAAAATGAATTAATATAAATTAACTAATGAACTTCTTAATCTTAACGAAATAAAATAATTAACTCAATTATAAACTAATTATTTCCAAAAATATAAACTATTATATAACTAAACTAATTAAACAAATATTTAAGTGAAACTAAAATCTTTTTTGGGACGATTTTCGAGTAATCATAAAATATATTAATTATATACATAATTATGAAATATATATACATATATATATATGTATGTATATATATATATAGTCTAAAAATTATAGAAACAATAAAATTAATTAAAAGCAACTTGGAAAATATTTGATTTTATAAAAACTAATTATTTCAAATCGTTCGAAATTTGAGAAGCTCGATGATTAATTTAAATTGTGGAGGTCCAAAATTGGGTGTCAACACTTTTAAAACTGATTTCATCTATATCTAATTAGTTATTAAATATATATTTGGTTTTGTAAAAGAATAATAATAGAAATAGTGTTTTGAAGGGTAAAAAGGTATTTTAACTTTTCATTTTGATGTTCCCATTTTTAGTATGATATGATATGATATGATATGATGATGATGATATATATATATATGAGATGAGATGGGATATGATATGATGAATGCTAGTACTATTGTATCTAATTACCTTAGATCTTTTTTTATTACACATTAAATTGGAAATCTTGTTCAATATGTCATCGTTGCAAGTTGTTTCACTAGGGACGAACAATCTCAAGGGATCCTTACCACGCGAGATTGGCAACTTAACCAAGTTGCAATTTTTATATCTTCACGGAAATAGGTTTACTGGTACGTATACATTCAAAGTGATAGCAATCTGAACTAGCCAATTTTTAGTTAAACTCATTCTTTCTTCAGGTGAAATACCCAAAGAGATAAGAAATCTCATTGAGTTGGAGGTACTTAATCTTGAGTTTAATAGTTTTAGTGGTTCACTTCCAACGGAGATCTTCAACATATCACGACTGAGAAATATTGCTCTATCAGGCAATAATCTATCAGGAACTCTACCACCAAACATAGGTTCTACCTTACCCAACATTGAAATACTTTATTTGCATGGCTTAACCAATCTTGTTGGGACTATTCCTCATTCTATCTCCAATTGTTCAAAGCTTACTGATCTAGAGCTTTCACAAAACAAACTCAGTGGCTTAATACCCAATTCTCTTGGATATTTGACTCCTCTAAACTTCCTAAACTTGTGGGGAAACAATTTAACCAGTGATTCATTTTTAAGCTTCCTCACTTCCTTAACCAATTGCAGAAATTTAAAATATCTTAATCTATCTTTGAACCCTCTAAATGGCATTCTTCCGGTATCCGTAGGGAACTTCTCCATATCTCTTATAAAGTTTGATGCCAGTGCTTGCCACATCAAAAGCAAGATTCCAAATGAAGTTGGAAACTTAAGCAGCTTATTAGACCTTCATCTTTCTGATAATAACTTCATTGGATCAATTCCTACATCAATTCACAACTTGAGAAGCCTTCAGCGCCTGGACTTGAACAACAACAAGCTTACGGGATTTATTGGAGATAATTTATGTAAATTGCAACATTTGGGAGATATTTACTTGGCTCAAAATCAACTTTCAGGATCTCTCCCTAATTGTTTAGGGAACGTTACTTCCCTTAGATTGATATATCTTGATTCCAATAAATTGAGTTCCAATATACCAACAAGCTTGGGGAATCTTAAAGATCTAATAAAGCTTGACTTATCATCAAACAACATGGTTGGTTCTTTACCTCCGGAAATTGGAATCTAAAGGCTGCGAACCAGATAGACCTATGGATGAATCAATTCTCAAATGGAATTCCTAGAGAAATTGGAGGATTACAAAATCTGGCGCACCTTTCTTTGAGACACAACGAGTTCCAAGGATCTATACCTGACTCAATGAACAACATGGTAGGCTTGGAATTTCTAGACATTTTCTCATAATAATATATCGGGAACAATTCCCATGTCTTTGGAGAAACTTCAAAAACTTGAAGTATTTCAATGTTTCTGACAACAAATTGTATGGTGAAATACCCTCGGGGGGTCCTTTCAAGAACTTTTCGAGTCAGTTTTTCATCAACAATGAAGCATTGTGTGGTTTGTCAAGGTTTAGTGTCCCGCCATGCCCCACTTCATCAAGGCATAGATCAAATAGGAAACAAATGCTACTTCTTTTTCTTTTGCTAGGAATTGCACTTGTATTTGTTCCTATCTCCTTTGTGTTCCTATGGATAAGGTATAGAAGAGGTAAAAGATCTCATCAACGAGCTGATTCATTGTCTATTGCAACAACAGAAAGAATTACATACTATGAACTGCTCCAAGCAATTGATTCGCTTAGCAACAGTAATCTGATTGGTTCTGGAAGTTTTGGCTCTGTTTACAAAGGCATTCTTAAGAGTGGGACTGCCATTGCAGTTAAAGTGTTCCATCTGCAACTGGAAGTGGCATTCAAGAGTTTTGATACAGAATGTGAAGTTTTGCGTAGCCTTCGCCATAGGAATCTTGTGAAAGTCATCACTAGTTGTTCCAACCTTGATTTTAAGGCTTTAGTGCTCGAGTATATGCCTAATGGAAGTCTTGACAAGTATTTGTATTCACACAACTACTTCCTAGACATCAGGCAAAGACTAAGCATTATGATAGATGGTACATGTGCGTTGGAATATTTCCATCATGGGTGCTCTTTACATGTGATTCATTGTGATCTAAAGCCTAGTAACGTCTTGCTGGATGAGGATATGGTTGCCCACCTAAGCGACTTTGGTATTTCAAAACTGCTTGGTGAAGATGAGATTGATTTATACACAAAAACCTTAGCAACATTTGGTTATATAGCACCGGGTACATCTCTTTGTTTTTGCTAATTTGAGCATTAATTTTGCATCTTTTTTTTCAATGAAGAAAGTATATTGCATCTTTAAATTAATTGTTTGACTGTAGAGTACGGACTCTGACACGACTCGGAATCATGACCTACAGGTCCCACAGAGGCAACTTTAGCATTGCTCCAAAGCATATCGATTATTTTACTTTACATTACTTGTTGAAGGGACTTTAAATGACTTATCTATTCGAACTTTTGTCTGGATTGATGAGATTCGACTGGCCACCCAAATCCCAATCCCATCCGGAAATGCTTACCATTAAACATGACATTGAGCACCAAACTGCTACCTCTGCTCAAAGTAAGTAGAGGCCTAAAGCAAAATTTCAATTAGAGGCCTAAAATCTAAATAAACTTCATATGTATTTATTTAAAAATTATTTTTCTAACTTTTTAGATGTAAATTTTTTTCTTAAAATTTCTTTATATATGATTTCTCACTACTAAAAAAACTGTGAATACCGACCTATAAA